TTCATTTTCCATTCAACGCTTTGATCAGACAACTTTTCAAAATGGTTCTAATGAAGAAGCAGCTTCTTCTACCTCAAATAAAATCATTACCGAAACCCGGAATCCAGAAGCAGTCGTGTGCACAATTCACATGTTTCTCTCCACCCCACGGTGTATCTTTGTGAATGTATGTACATTCCTCACTTCATTTTCCGAACGGAATTATTTGAGCCAAAACCAACAGCTCAAGTTTCTGGCCGAGTTTTTTTTTCTTTTGCAAATATTCACGTCACATACTGCTAAAATACACGTTGTGCGTTGAATTAAATTCATTGCTGTCATTTTACAGTAATTTTCGTTTTGTTCCAAACGATTAACAGAGAGGCCGAAGTTTAAAAAAAAGACACACACACACACACATACATATCAAATTTATATTCTAAACGCGCCAATGATCATAAATTACAATTTGCTTGGTATTTTTGGTTTAATTCATTTGGGACCAAATAGTTTTCAACATGATATTGAACTAAAATCTTTGGTCCACCACATATATACATCGATATTGTGAAAGTGAAAACAAATGGATGCGATTGGCATTGTGGCATCGAGGTGTCGAGTAAAAGTCGAAGGAAAATGCATGTGAATGAGTCATGTATTCGAAATTTATAATAAAGATCCTGGCCAAAAACCATATTTTTGTGATGATAAATGGGAGCATGTCTCAGACCAAATGGGTTTATTAATTAATATTAAATGGAAGTGGTCTCATTTATTTTGATGCCGTTGAAAATGGATCGACAGAGATAAAAAGAATAATGAATCTCTTCCAATGCACGGCATTTAATTCATAGCATTATGTGCTTTCTTCTAATTTTGTTGTTCATATGTCATGAAAAATTCATGCTAACGATTTGAGCAGATATTAGCCGAAACCATCAACGACAAAACGAAGGAAACATAGACAAACAGAGAAACCGGATAAAAACGGAGAGAAAGAGAGATGGAAAGAGGAAACTCAATAGGTGAATTTTCATATTTGAATGAATCGACTCGTTTTTCCAAATGGAAATTCGTAATGACAACATGAGTTTTCATTGCATTATTTATCTTGAAATCAAGTATGTCAAGATGATAATACTAAATACCATAAACCAAATGCTAATGCAAATATCCGTATGCAAAAGAGCACCCAAAAAGATATTATGCTTTACCGCAAACATTTTTTAATGGGTTGATATAGATAAAGAGCGAACGCAAAACGTTTGCGCTTGAACGCGCACACGACACACACACACACACACACAAAAATAATACCAAAAAACGACGTCAAAACATAAATACATTGCGAATAGGAAAAACATGGAGCGGAAGAGAGATAGACATCAACAACAACAACGAATATACCAACTGAATCAGCTTTCTAGAGTTTAACATTTATTTGCATTTTGGAATAAAAAAGAAACATTCTCACACACACACACAACGACTAAATGAAATTCCAATCAGAGAAAATGAATGGAAATATCTGCGCTAACATTTCGTGATGCTCAATCATGGTGCATTATCACAATTCTTTCAGCATTTGTATATTTAGCATTTTGGCTTCGAATGCTTGAGTATTTCATCAAAAATGATTATTCCGTGTTGCTTTTTAACCTCTCGCATATATTCGCATTTGAAGCGCCACAAAAATGTGATATAAACGCGATCAAGATAAAATTGGGAATTGTCTCGGAAGCAAACAAACTCACAGTTTCTCACACACATTCGTTAGAGAAGAAGAAGAGTAAGAGATACACATACGCACAACAAAAAGTATCGCGTCCAATCACGCTATCTACATTTTGACAACGTAGCACTTCATTCTATCGTGTTATTTCTGAGTTTAAACTGAGAGAAGATTTTCGTTGAAAAATATAGAATAAAAAAAACACGGCCAACGTGAAAATGCAATGTCGATGATAAAGAAAAACATAAATTAGCAGTGACAACAACGACAAAGCGACAGCGACACCAAACGAAAACGAACAAAATAATGTTACGCTGTCAAGTGCCTAATAATAGCCAATGCTATAACGAAATAAACTGTGAATGAGCGAAAATAAATCTCAGTGGGTGTGCGTATGTGCCCCTTCAGTTCTTTATTTTACTTAAACCTGAAGTTTCTTGAAATAATTTCCAAATTTCTTTTTTTCGTCTGAAATAACTTTTCGGTTCGATTCGTTACGCATTTCTACACATTTAGCGGTAGAAACCATCAGAAACACCTGGGCTCTGGTACAGTAAATCCCATTCAAACCGAATGTTGGAAGAACAGTTGTCTTGATATTATATTTCGTTTCGAAATTAAAAATCATACGAAATTTAAAATGGAAAAGTTTCAAAACGATAAATTTTACACAGTAAAATAAATAGCAACCTGCAAAATACACTCATTATGGAGAACGTCAGTTCGAAAATAAAAAAAAAGTCAGATGAAAGAGTGATCGAAAATCGTTTTAGTTTGAGAAATCGGTGTGCTTTCATTCTGTCTCGTGTACCTATCATATTATGAATAAAGTAAAGGGAGCACACACATTTTCATTAATAGCGATGACGCGAAATTTCGTTGGTTGAATATATGCGAATGTTTAATATATAAATTGTTTGAAAGTGATAAATGATTTAATTCCTTAAATTATATGCGCTCGGTGTATCTACGATGTTTTACTTGCTTCATATTCACATTTTGCGGTCGATTGTAGCGCCTGTGAGTAAAAAAGCAGCTTGAATTGTTCGTGCTCTTGTCGTCGTCATCGCCTTTGCGGCCGTTAAACATTTTGTCTCTGTTCTTTCACTGTTTGTGCTGTAATCGCGACAAAAAAATTTCACTTTTACTTTTTGTTTCCGTACACTCCGCTGTGGTATTCGCATTTTTCGCCGAATCAAAGAATGTGCGCGTTCCGTTTGTATTTCTCTTGTTTCCATTTTTGGCATGCCTTTTAGCTTTAATTTATTAAGTATGAATGCACACCAGTTTTGTGTTACGAAAATTGAGAAACAATTTAAAGAAGTGTAAAATAATTAAAATAGCTGAAAAGCCCAAAAGCTTTCGACGGCCATCACTTGAATAAACTATGGCAGGCTCCTTAAAATTGAACATTAATTAATTGAGTAATACTCTCTTACGTTAAAGCATCTGAAGATGGCCACTTTAAAATCGGACAGTAAGTCCGATGATGTTGAATAAAAAGTGTGTATTTACTTTTTAGTAAAAAGTTATTCATAGTTGATGGTGGTCAATGAACGGAATAAACATAAAATCGCATGATTTTGGCAACGATGATGATGATGACATCGACTCAGTTATTGCCACACTTTGCAAAAGGAAATGAGAAATGCCATAATGAGAAAAATATTGTAATGTGTCATATTTTAATCTTTTAATGATACACGAACAGAAGCCAAGCTACTTGAACGACTGCAAAGAGCCAAATAGATAAAGTAACAGATAAAGGGAGAATGAACGACAGAGACTGAAAAAGAAAAAAAAAATTAATTAGGGGACAAAAGAAATCGAGCATGAAAATTTCTGGTGATTAAGTCACACGCTTGAGCGCTTCGTGTTTACTGTCCGTCCCTTTGGCGCAATAATCCGAATCGACACACACTCTCTTGGTCTATCTCATTGATTTCAAACGCACAACGATGGCAAGATATGGTAAGGTGAAATAAGCACTGCTCTTGTGTTTGTCAGCGACATGCTGAAAAAGGTATAATCAACGATTTGTTTGGAAATATTCTTTTTCTCTCTTTTTTTGTGTGTGTGTGTGACTTAATCACTCAATTTGCATATACAATTACTTAGCAGTTTGCTATTTTCGTCAATTTCTCTTGTGATACATCTTGTGTAATGTGGTGGCTTTTTAAATGTGCTCAAGAACGAGCCCCGGAACTTCAGTTGACATATTTTTTCCGGAATCATTAATTTTAATATTAATTCAGATTTTGAGGAAAAAAATGTCGTTGTCAGATTGATGTCAAGTTTAACATAAACGTGCGCCTTTTGCACATCCAACACAATGAAAAAATGGCAATTCATCCGACATTCTACGGAATTTCCATTTTTTGTGTGCCATTCTTTGTTGCAGATAAATCCAAATTTTTTGTTTACCCATCGGTTATATATTATTTATATTTTCATTTAAGCACCAATGAAATGCTCTGGAAGCTTTTTTTTTTCATTTGATGCGCTCCGATTTTCCAAAGAATTGACGAAAGGGTAGAAAACTGTTATTTTCACTTTTTACACAAAGGCCCATTATAAGAAACGAAATCGCTTGAACAATAAAACATCTGAATCAAAGCTGTGAGCTATTTATAAAATCAATGAATTTTCATAAATTTCATTCAAGTGATTATACGATAAAAAATCGCAGAGAAATCGAATGCTAGCGGGAAAGTAAATGTTTGTTCCTAGGGGAAATGATTCAGTTGCGAATGGACCAACTATATTGAAATTGTAAAATAATTGGTTACTTCAATAAAAAAAAGTAGCAATAATCCGCCAACAATTTGCAATAAATTGTTACGATACAAAGGACGCAAATTTTATGAATTGTCTTACTTTCTTACCGATTTCTTTGCGACTTGGGCAAATTATCGCATAATTCGCAACGTTTTGATCGAGATCCGAGCCCTTGTTCATAACACGAACTATCGGCGATCGAATTAAGTGGCTACACGCAGCAATGTCGAATAGCGCACGCAATACCAATAAGAATGAAACTGTAGTAAAGTGTGCAAAAATGCGTGCTATAATAGATTTAGCATGGTATCGATTGGACGCAAGAAGCAGTGGTGCTTGGAAGTAAGAACGAAAAAGGCGAAGTAAATCAGTTTTAGAATACGTTTTGCACGATTTGTTGCATTATCGATTAGAGTAGTTCTTTTTGTTTTATTTTAAATCGAAAACGAAAGTGAAAAATTGCCGACCATAACCTTAGATTCTATTTTCTCTCTATCTCGATTTTTTACAGGCTATTCATGCTAACTTCCATAAGTTTACTGCCACTTAATATTATTACGATATACTACTTTAACCACCATCATCGTTGTGATTGTCAGCGCAGCAATAACAGCGGGGCATAAAATTGGCCATTCGGAACAGCAAAATAGTAACACAGAGTAGCACATTGAGTATAACGAAATTCACCGTTCGCATGTGTGTCAGCATAGGCACAGACACTTTTGATACAAACATACTGCTGAAATGCTGTCAATTGATGGTATGTATAAAACAATACATAACAAATATAAGTCTACCTTACACTTATTCATAAGTCTTTAGTTTGGAATTATGATACACGAAACTCTCATGAAAAATTACTTTAAAAAATTTAGTTTTCCATTTTGTATTTGATTTTGTTCATTAAAACGATGAATTTTTTTTAAATTTCCAATTTTTAACCGTACAAGCACAAAACTGACTGCACCAAAGGGCGAAGCAGTATTGTGTTTAGATTCCATTCATTCAATTCCACTCAAAATGAATTCCACTTGAATTTAAATTGGACTCCACTAAACAGATACTCCATTTATTTAACACATTGATGCGATTTTTTTAACTACCGTAGTTTTCCATTTTCTTTTCCCTCGATATCTAAGTATATTTCGTGAATTTAGTAAATGTTAAAAGATATGTAAGACACACTTGAACCTCATGACCTTTGATCCTAAATGTACCTTTCCGTATCGATATTCAACGCAAACTGCAATGAACTATAATCAAATTAAAGCCATTAAATGACCAGTTATAAGCCAATTGATAATTTGCTGAAATTCGATATCATCAAAATCTACTCTATGGTACGATATAGTCCAAATTGATTTGTCAGTTGATCAGATTTCTATGGAACGTTTAAAATAACAAAAACAAAACAAATACATGGCAATATATTTTCATATGCACAAGGATGTGTTCTTTTGTGTATAAGAGCTCTCGCCATTGTAATTGAGCTGTTACATAACACAAGCCTTTTCAAGTGGCTATATCGTTCATATACACGTACAGCCTAGAGTATTCAATTCTAGATCGGGTAAATGAGGAAGAGAACAGTATAGCGAGAACAGTATTGAAAGACGAAAGAAGGGAAGTCACCTAGAAAAGAGTCCAAACGAACGAGAGGCGAAAAAAAAACCAACAATTTTTTCCCTTAAATGAATTCAAAGTGAAAATCAATAAAGCTATCAGCTTTTGGCTCAGTTCCAGTGATTTGCCATCTTGTGCAGTTCATTGTGTACTTATGTATTTTGTTCGGTCAATGTGGAATTTCGAGATCCGATTTTATGTGGCAACATTCAATGTTTTGGTTGTCGTTTCGCAAAAATTCGACATAAATACACGCAATACGTAATTCAAAGAAATAAAATGAATGCTCTACGGCCAAAATGTTGATCAGAAATAAACACACACACACAAAATCAAAACGGTCATTGTATCAATTTCCATATTTAATAACAAGCAAAAAGGATCCAGAATCAACGAAAATCGTAAACGACGAACCGAAAAAAGTATATATACCCAATTGGGTGTTCATGTCTGTGTGAGTGTGTGTATATTTATGTTTAAGTGAACTTGAACACAGCCGTTCGCATTGAATATATGTTATACGAAATGAATGGTAGTTTTCGTCATCATCAATATCATTGTTCACGTTTTATATATCATATACAATATATTGAAAGCGGTGTGCTATACTTATAGGCGATAGAATTTATATAATATTCAATGGTCTTTATCGTGCGTAATGCTAATCGAGTTGAATTTCTCGCCGAAAATCTATGCGAACATTAAAAGTTCAATTGGGATTTCATTTCGGTTGAAGAATATTTACTTTATCTTTGATTTGCCAAAATTATGTCGAGCAAGCATTTTCGATCGGTTCAAACAAAACCACCACAAAATGTATTGCCAATTTGTTCATATAGCATTCAGAGAGAGAGAGAGAGAGAGAGAGAGAGAGAGAGAGAATTTGTTTTTGGTCAAAACGGAAATTGCCGGCAACGACGTTGTTTGATTCATATCGGAACATTTATGGAATCGACAATTATACCGTACAACAGGGTGAACTGAAGCAAATAAAAGCAAATAAAAGCAAATTAAAGCCCGGTACAGTATACCATATTTTCTAAATGAAAGGCACCTAGATGAATCAATTTTAATGTGTGTCGGTTGAGTTTCCTTTTTATTTCGATAAAAAAAAATTCCCAACAAAACACGGAAATCGATAAGCATAAGTGCGCCAATGTACACTTTCTTTCAAATTGCTTCGTCAATACTTTATGTTTAATGTATTGTGTGCTCATGTATCAATATTATGGACATATTTATATGTTTTAGGTAAGTTTGCCAAAGCTTTGATTAAATACACTCAATTGAGAGATGGCGAAGTGAAGATAGTGCGAGAGGAAGGAAAATAGCTGACAGGCAAGTTCTATTTTGCCGTTTCTCATGTTTTACGATCTTCTTTTTGGTGAACACATTTTCCAATCATTCAGTTTTGCGTTTTTGTATGTGGGAATAGCTGAATGAAACAGTGAAACTTAAATATCACAAAAAGCAACAAAAAAACAATCTAGATATGGTTTATCAAACACAGGATAACAAGAAAAAACACTTTGCAAATGATAACAACATTGGCTGATGCTGTGAAGTATCATACATAGACTATAGACATACATATTAATGCATACACGCGCTTTCCCTCTACCTCTCATCTATGAGTGATGTCAATCGCTTTGAATTCGTGTTCATTCAAAGGTGTCATATCCAAATCACGGGCTGATTTACATTTTCCTTTGGTCTGTCTATGTTTCTTGTGGTGGGGCTTTGATTCGATTTGATTTGATTTATATTTGAAATAGATGATAAAAAAAAACAAAAATAAATCTCGTCAATTTTACTTTTCAATCGACGAAAACTGTAACACAGACCAATATCTTATCATGAATGTAAGGCGCAGAGGCGTCCACAGGATTTGGTTAAGGGGGGCAAGGCAAATGAAAAAAGAGGACATTTTTCGAAAATACTTTTGATTGTAACAAAAATTTGAAAGTGAAGAGCAAAACCCTAGCAAATTCGAATAACTTTCCTTCCTCAAAAAAGAGGACATTTCATCTTTAGGGGAGAGGTAACTGCCTGTGGACGCCCCTGGTAAGGCAACAAAAACAATTTTTGTTCATTCGTTTTAAACAGTTCTGTTTAGATTCCGCCCTCTCTTTCTCTACCACTTGCAGTGTGTCTACATGAGAAAGTCAAGTTTGTCAGCGGTACTTAACCATACTATTATTTGAAATAACACCACCAAATCAGTACAATGGATGAATGGAAATGGTGTAACAAAACCTCATCTCATTGTATCAAATAACCACTGTTTAAATATTTGTTGATTCGTAAATTGATCATCTGTTTAACGGATACTTTTCTAATAAATATGTATTCGAGATTTGTTGTCCATTGTTCAGTTACAAATTCGATGGAATTTATACATATGACAAAGAAATCACTTGTAGAGAAGAAACAAATCGGTGTGATCACCTCCAATCAAAGTAAACGTATACAATTACATTATAATTTGATACAACAATCATGAATAACAAAAAATACAAAAAGACTGACGTATAGCATTTGTTGTGATGCTAGACAGTGTGAAAAATCCAGATCAGAAGAAATCACTGAACATCAAAGAAATTGAACGTACAAAAAAACACCTTTACAATATATATTGGAAATGTTCAGATAAAAAGATGGAATAAATAAAATTCAAAATAAAATATAAGAACTTTTCTTTCTCCTGCAAGCGAAATATACAAAAGCCAGGCTCACACTGTACATAATAAAATTAAAAATCTGGCAAATTTCGTGCTAGAAGTAAAAAAAACACCGAACGAACACACATTTTTTATTATTCTTTTGGGAAATTGGCACGTAGACACAGATTGCGCTGAATGCTTCAAAATGTGACGAAATTTCGATAAACTTCTAGTTCTGTTTCAGTCCACAAAATGTGTATTTTTTCTCTGTTAAATATCAAAAGAAGGAGAGAGAAAAATGCAAGGAAGAAATGCGCGAAACAACCAATACAAAAACATAAAAAAATTCCGGTGATTTTCGAGTGTATTTCATTCGAAATTTCATTTTGAGACATTTCACAACGTTTCAAGCATATTAACAGTATATTGCCTCTAATCGCATTGGGGAAAATTCGTTCGGCACTCACATGTGTCATCTGTGTTTGATATGCGATTTGTACGGCGACATCGTTGTTAATCTCCTTTCAATTCGTTTATATGCTCTCGCCTTCTCTCTCTATTTCTATCTGATACATACGCGCGCACACACACACACTTCATCACACTCTCTCTCACACATTCGTGAAAATGGTGTTATTATAACAACACATTGCCAAATCGATCCCAATCAAAATAGCAACAGAATATATATATATAGGGCGAGATAGAGAGAAAGATAGAGATAGAGAGAGAAAGACCAAGTCAAGTTAAAGTGATATGGTTCTGAAAACAGTCGTAAATAAATAATGCTAAAGAAAAACACCTACATGCCATTTCCGATGCGACAACACTCTTCTAGCGTTGTTGATGTTCTTTGCAAATATAAATATAAAGAAAAATACGTTGTGGATATATAACCGTCGTGAGAAAATGACATAAGCACTACTAGTGTTTGATGCATATCAACATCAATATTAACAAATTCCAACCAAAAATAGAGGTGAGGCTATCATTGTGTTTTTATGACATCGTTTTGGGTTAGTATTTCAATAAATGTGTCACATAAAACCAATCTATTTTGGCTTGTGCAATGCATCGCACTTTTTTTCCTTCCATACTCATTCCATTATTTTTGAAATTATCTACTAATTCTTCACAATAAAGTGTTCGAAAAGTTGAAGAAATTAAAAAAAAGTACAATGTAAAATCGAACAAGGACAAAAAGAATGAATGTATAGATATTTACACACGAGAGAAAAAACACTCTTAGCAAAAATCTGTTCCAATTGCAGAGCGTAAGTCTTCTAGTACGAATACAGCCCCGAGAAAAAATACGGCACATAAATCAATGAAGCAATTTTTATGGTTATTTACAACAATGAATTGTTAAATATTTACCTCATCTAGACAACCAAACAATAGAAGGCTAAAGAGCAAAATGTGAACGTAACTTTTCTTTTGTTGGAATTTTTTCTTCCGTTTATGAGAGCACATC